TCCTCCTCCTCCTCCTCCTCCTCCTCCTCCTCCTTCTTCTTCTTCTTCTTCTTCTTCTTCTTCCTCTTCTTCTTCTCCTTCTCCGTCTTCTCCGTCTTCTTCTTCATCTCCTCCTCCTCCTCCTCCTTCTCCTCCTCCTCCTTCTTCTTTCTCCCCCTCCTCCTCCTTCTTCTTCTTGCTCCTCCTCCTCCTCCTTCCCCCTCCTCCTCCTCCTCCTCCTCCTCCTCCTTCTTCTTCTTCTTCTTCTTCTTCTTCTTCTTCTTCTTCTTCTTCTTCTTCTTCTTCTTCTTCTTCTTTGTCATCTCCTCCTCCTCCTCCTCCTCCTCCTCCTCCTCCTCCTCCTCCTCCTCCTCCTCCTTCTTCTTCTTCTTCTTCTTCTTCTTCTTCTTCTTCTTCTTCTTCTTCTTCTTCTTCTTCTCCTCCTCCTTCTCCGTCTTCTCCGTCTTCTTCGTCTTCTTCGTCTTCTTCTTCATCTCCTCCTCCTCCTCCTTCTCCTCCTCCTTCTTCTTTCTCCCCCTCCTCCTCCTCCTCCTCCTCCTCCTCCCCCTCCTCTCTCTTTCCTTTTGGGCACTGTGCTTTGCAATACAGATACCGAGAGGTCATCAATGTGTGTCCCTTTACCTTTTTCAGTACGTTGGTGCGCTTTCATCTTCAAAATGAAGTCTGGAAGGCGCGACGTAGACGGCGTGGGCGGCACAGCCGGATTGCTGCTCAAGCCTCGTCGCGAGCACTTTGCGCTCTGTGCCCGGGAAGCTTCCTGGGACTTTTCCTGGGCAGGACCCGGAGTGGCTCTGCTGTCCCCGCACTCTGGCTGCCTTCGCGCGAGACACGGCAGCAGGGCACCTGCCAGCGGGTGCCTTGGGCGCGCGTCTTCTGCTCGGCGTGTGCCAGGGACTCTGGGGCCGTGGTTGTCAGTGTGAGCCGGTCCGTTCCGGGCTGAGCCGCGCTCCTGCGCCAGGCTGGTCCCCACTCGACAGCAGGGACGCGTATTTGGCTATGGTCTGTGCTTCTTTCTCTGCCTCCTCTACCTGCCCGGGCATTCTGAGTCTGGGGGGTGTTTCCCTCTCTCTGGGCCGGCCAGCGTCTCCTGGAGGGGTGGCTTGGCTTGGCGAGCGCCCCTAAACTCTGCTTCTTGGGGCTGGAGCGATAGCACAGCGGGGAGGGCGTTTGCCTTGCATGCGGCCGACCCAGGTTCGATTCTTGGTATCCCGTATGGTCCCCCAAGCACCGCCAGGAGTAATTCCAGAGTGCAGAGCCAGGAGTAACCCCTGAGCACTGCCAGGTGTGAGCACCGCTGGGTGGTGAGCATGGCTGGGTGTGACCCAAAAAGCAAAAAACAAAACAAAAAAACTGAACTTCTTGGCAGCTGCGCCGTTTTCCCTTCTTGGGCCTGGTGGTGGTGTGGGGGGTGCCCTTATTGGCTAGAGTGGGCGCACAGCTAGGCAGGGGTTGGCCCTCAAGGGAGGGCCAGGGCCCAGAGCTCACGCAGATTTCCCAGTGACCAAGCTCTGCGCTGTTGCTGGTGCAAAGAGGTCAGCGCAAGTGGCCCCCCCGTACATGGGATTCTCAAGTCAAGCCCTTTCCCACCCCAGGGCCTTTGCACAGACCAGGAAACTCCTGCTGTCGTTCCTCCTCATCTGCTCCTGTCAGAGTTAGCCTCACCGCCCTCACTAGGACAGCAAGGAGACTCGGCAAGGTGGCTCCCCCCGTCCTTCCTGTCTTATCACCGTCCCCAGGGCTGGGCCAGTGGTCCTGTTTCTCGCTCTTCCCCTGCTGGGGTCCTGCCAGGACAGACACAGTCTGGGATGTCCCCGTGCAGGAGTGATGCAAAGCAGAGCAGCGTCAGGGCCTCGCCGCTCTGTGCCTCAGTTTCCCCATCTTCAACGGGAAGCTTGAACTCGCGTCCCCCAAATCACCCTCCACTGAGCAAGACCGGGCATTTATTGAGCACCTGCTGTGTTCCAGGCCGCAGCTGGGGGACATGGCGCTGAGAGGCTCAGAGGAGCTGGCCGCCTAGATGAATCGGTCCCTACTGCTCAGCAGGGCTATTGGGGATGCCGGGCAGGGCAGGAGCACAGCGGAGGCTGCCAGGCTGTGCTCCCTGGAGGCTGGGACTATGGGCAGACTTCCTGGCGGTGGCGTCGCGTGAGTCCCAAGCTGGGAGCCCAGTCTTAAAACGATGGCGTGCTGGCGCTTCTGGCAGGGAGAGCATCTGCCCCAAACAGGACCAAAGTGAGAGCACTATATTGGGGAGCAAGCCAGCGGCTCCAGGTTACAAGGGGGAATCGGGTCCCGGGGTGGGGGGCGTCTCCCAGCACCCCTGGCCCTCTGGCTTGCCCAGACAACGCCCACGCTGCCTCTCCCGGGGCCCACTCGCGGTGGAAGGCGGGAGGCGGCCCCCGGGTGTCCCTCTGCGGGCGGGGATGGCGGGATGGCACAGCCCAGGTCCCCGGCCACATGAAGGCCCCCGGGGTATTTTTGCCCTTGGGCAGGACCGGTGGCTCGGGTCTGTGTAATTAGACGTGGCAGGAAGCCACGAGTGGCTGGAGCTGGGCCGCTGGCTCTGGGCTCCCGGGGGGAGGTCCTGGCAGCTGCCTGAGAGGGCACCGGGCCTGCCCTCACCCCGGCCGCCTCCCTGGCCAGGGCACGTGGTGGGGTCCTGGCCGCGGCTAATCGCACGCGGGGCTCTGGGCGGCCCCTGAGTCCCTGCACGCGCCGGCAGAGGGACCGGGTGTTTGCTCTCAGCCCCGAAACTGCAGCTCTGAGCTTCCTGCAGGCCGGCCTTGAGGCGGGGGCAGTGGTGCCGGCCAGGAGGCCCGGCCCGGCCAGGCCCGGCGGGGCAGTTCCTGGAGCAGAGACGGCCTTTGGGAGGCCCTCGGGGTGGAGGCGGCTGCTGAACCAGTTCTAGGGCTGCAGCACAGGAGCCTGTGGGTCGTGAAGATAGTGTGGAGAGTGTAGATCGCGCCAGAGCATGGTCACACCCCAGCGAGCACGCGCTGAGCACCGTGTTCTGGCCCGCGTCCTGCATGTGGCCTTATGGCAGTGCCCCCAACAGGAGACATCTCTGGTCCCCGTGAGCCTGTTTCACTATAGTCAGGAACTGCTTGGAAGGCGCTGGCCTCAGGGCCTTTGCATGTGCTGAGAGCCTCTTGCATCCTGCCGTCCAAACACCCCCTCATCGTCTTCACCGGCTGCTCTGCTCTATCGAACCCTGCCTGAGCTCAGACGAGTCCCCCGGATGGCCCCATCCCCGCTGTCAGCCCGGATTGTGTTAGCGTGTTGCCAACGTGCAAGTCCTTCTCCTCCATCGGCTCCATGAAAGTGCGCGGGAACCCTGGAGGCGGCAGGCAGAGTGGCTCGTTGGGCCGCGGGGCGCTTTGTGCTCTGCCTCCCCGTGGGTGTGTGACACGAGTCCACAGTGCGCCCTGTGTGTGTATGGCGCAATTGTGGCGTGAGCATGGCGCCCAGTGCGTGTCTGTGTGTGTGGTGTGTTGCTTGGTATGTGCCATGACAGACGCGAAAGGGCAGGGCAGGGCCTGGAGGGTGGCCCCGCTGGCTCCCTGGGGCAGGGCAGGAGGCCTGGCACTTCCCGGCCTACTGCCACAGCAAGTTTGTGGGCTCCCGGGGCACGTATGTTTCTGCACGTGTGAGTATATGATTGTGCGTAGTTGTGTGTGTGTGTGTGGTTGTGTGTGTGAGTCTGTGGGAGGATAGCTCCTGTCCCCTCTACGGTGCAGATGGGTTGTGTGTGTGTGTTTGATTGTGTGTGCATGAGTGTGCGATTGTGTGTGAGCGTGTGTGCATTTCTGTGTCTGTCTTATACTTTGTACTTGTGTGCACGTCTGTGAGATTTGTGTGTCCAAGCACGTGTGTGTGTGCATAGACTTGTGTGTGTGCATACTTGTGAATTTTTTTTTTGGTGGGGCCACACCTGCCAGTGCTCAGGGGACACTCCTGGTGGTGCCCAGGGAACCCTGTGCGGTGCCGGTGGTTGGAACGCAAAGTTCACACCCAAGGTAGGTGCTGTGAGACCTCCCCGGCCCCGTGGGAATATTCCAGCATGTGTGCATGTGCGTGTACAAGCAAGTCTGCGCACAGATGCGTGTGTGCACATGACTGTGTGTGTCCCTGTGTACCAGGATGTGTGCATGTGCGTGCCGTGTGTGCGGAAACCATGTGCACGCGTGTCAGTCTCTGTCTCGCCGCCCCGCAGGTCTCTCCCGGGGCTGCTCCTGAGGGTCCCAGTCGCCGGCCGGCGGCCCCCTCAGCGTCTGGCTTCCCAAGCCTGGGGCCGGCCTCTCCCCTGCCCCTTCTGTCTCGCCGGTTCCCTGTGGGGGCTTCTCCCCGGAAGTCAGCCAGCTTCCCACGACGAGCAGGGACTGGGTTGCCTCTGGAACCTAAGCACTGTGCCAGGAGCATGCGGGGCCAGTCGGCACCACAGGCTGAGGGCCTGCAGGAAGGAAGGCGGGGCCAGCCAGAGGCGAAGCCCCAGCCTCAGTTTCCCTATCAGGAACCGGGCCCATGACCTCTGCTCTGGGGACTCTCCTACCAGGAGGGAGCCCGGAAACCTCCCGTCTCTGCCAGCGGGGAAACTGAGGGCCGGATCCTGGCCCGACGGCGGGTGCCAGCACTGGCCTCGGTCGCTGCCTTCCCGTAAACACGCCCCAGCTCCCACTCTGCGCCCCGCGCCTCGGAAAGCCTGAGTCACGGCTGGGACGGGGACGGGGGAATTTTCCCACATTCCAGGGCCCCCGAGGCTCCCTGACCTCCGCCCCCCGGCCAGGGGTCGCTCTGGGCTCGGCTGCCTGGGCCAGGCCCGGGTCCGTCCGCTTGTCTTCCTCGGGAGGAAGTGTCTGGGCTTCCCTGTCGGAGCGTGGAGGGCGCCCGTGAGCCGGGGCAGGGGGGCTGTGTGTGGCCGCAGCCCCGCCCCCGTGTCCCCACCCAACTCTCTTAATGAAATCAAGCTGGCCCGGGAGGCGCGCGGCAGAGAGGCAGAGAGCGAGCCCGGCACTGCCGGGAGCACCACCTGGCGAGAGCACCCGCCGCGCGGCACGGTGAGTTCCTCTGTCCCCTGGCCCGGACTGGGGGACCCGCAGCCCCACCAGCACTCGGGGGCGTCTCTGAGAGTGTCCAAGTTGGAGAGTGCATTTGCTGCTGTGCGTGCGTGCGTGCGTGTGTGTGTGTGCGTGCTTGTGCTAAGGCTCTGTGTGGAGGACGGGGAGTGCCTGGTGTTCGGTGTTGGGGTTGGGTCAGCAGAGTGGTGTGTGTGTGTGTGTGAGAGAGAGAGAGAGAGAGAGCTGGCACACTCAGGGGCTTGGTGCAGGAGAGGTGTCTCTCCAAGGGGAAGGCAGTGTGGATGGGACAGTGTGTTTGTGTGCCCACCGTGGCATGTTCGTGTGTGTGTGTGCCCACTGTGGCGTGTTTGTGTGTGTGTGTGTGTGTGTGTGTGTGTGTGTGTGAGAGTGAGCCTGCTGAGGTGTGTCCGTGGGGGCTCTGTCCGTCCGGGCAGACAGTGCGAGGGGCTGCTGTGCCGTGCGCGGCTGTGTGTGTTGTGTGTCTGTATCACGTGTCGTCCCCCCCCCCCCCCCCCGTTGTCTGCTCTGCAGTGCGCAGGCGTCTGTGAAATGTGAACCTCGGGGACCCCCTTCTCCCCGAGGGCCGTGGCTGTCCTCAGCTGCCCTGGGCCAGGGGCTGCTGTGCTCCGGCTCTGGCCGGAGCCTCCCCTGCCTCCCCCCGAGACCTGGTGGGAGCCGGGTTTCAGGGCTGCCCGTCCCCCAGTCTGGGGCCGCTCTCCGCGCGGGGGCTCGGTGGGGCCCGGAGACCCCCAGGAGCTGGCAGCATCCGCACAGCCTGGCCTGGGGGCCCCACTTCCTAAATCAGCAAGCCCCGGTCAGGGGCCCCGCTGCAGGGTCTCGACTCGTAGTGGCGCCCACTAGCTCACCGCGGGGTGCTGCTGGTCCAGGCCCCGGGGACCCCCACGGAGCAAACGTGGCTGCGGGTCCAGGCCGAGTGCACATGGGCTGCGTGCAGGCCCGGGGTGTAGCTGCCTCTGCCCGAGTTTCCTCTGGGCAAAGAGGGGCTCCCCGAGCCCACACCCCACACCAGACACAGGGAGACGCCCCCGACCTTCCCCCCGGGAGCTGGAGGGGGCAGGGGCCCAGGGGACTCAGGGCCAGTGGGGGTGGGGTCCTGTGGGGGCTGCCAGAGGCACGGAGGTGCTGCCTCTGTGTGTGTGTGTGTGTGTGTGTGTGTGTGTGTGCTGCATGTGAGACATGTGCATGGTGTATGTGGGGCGTGTGTGTGTATGTGGTGCGTGTATGAATGTGTGTGTGTTTGCGTGTGTGAGTGTATGTGTGGAGTGTGTGACTGTGTGTGAGGGTATGTGTATGAGTGTGTGACTGTGTGTGAGTGTGACTGTGTGTGTGTGTATGAGTGTGTGACTGTGTGTGGGTGTATGAGTGTGTGTGACTGTGTGAATGTGTGTTTGTGTGTATGAGTGTGTGACTGTGTTTGTGTGACTCTGTCTTAGTATATGTCTGCGTGTGACTATGTGTATGAGTGTGAGCATGTGGCTATGTGTATGTGAATGTGTGTGTATGACTATGTATGTGACTGTCTGAGTGTATGTGTGTGTATGTGACTGTGTCTATGAGTGTGTGTATGTGCATGAGTGTGTGTGTGTGTGTGTGTGAGTGTGTGTTGTCTGGCCTCTCTCCCGCCTGGCCGGGCTGAGGCTTCCCTCAGGGGGGGGAAGTCGCTCTTTCCCAGGGCGCCCGTCCCTGAAGGGGCCGTGACCTGCCTGGGCTGCTGCGGGTCGTGGCTGGGCTCCTGACCGGCCCCAGACGAACAGCTGCGGGCCCAGCCCTGGGCAGGGCCCGGCTCACTTCCCCACAGTCTGGTGGGGCGCAGACCCCAGGCCTGGCGTCCAGCTCCCGCCCTCCCAGTGGCCCTCGGCGACCCCCCCGTCTCTGCCTCTTTCGTAGGCGCTCAGGAACCCTCCTTTGGGCCTGAGTGGAGACGGGGGAGGGAGGGGGCATGTGGGACAGAGACCCCAAAGATCGGGCCGACAGGTGCCGGGGACACGGGGCCTGGGAGGGGCTCACTTCCTGTTCGACTAGACCAGGATGGGGAGAGAGACAGAGAGAGACAGAGAGAGACAGAGACAGAGAGACAAAGACAAGAGAGAGACAGAGAGACAGAGGAAAAAAAAGACAGAGACAGAGACAGAGAGAGACAGAGAGGACAAAGACAGAGAGACAGGGAGACAGAGAGAGAGAGAGAAAGACAGAGACAGAGAGACAGACAGGGAGAGACCAACAGACATAGAGAGAGACACAGAAAGACAGGGACAGAGAGACAGATAGAGACAGAAAGAGAGACAGAGACAGAGAGACAGACAGGGAGAGACAGAGACAGGGAAAGAGAGACAGAGCCAGAGAGAGAGACAGACAGAGAAAGACAGAGAGTGAGAGAGAGAGAGAGACAGAGACAGAGACAGAGACAGAGAGAATCATTCCAGAGGGAACTTAAAGCCCAGCACCAACAGACTCTCCCTGCCTGTGTGCCTTCAGGCAAGCAGCTGTCCGTCTCTGAGCCTCCCCTTGCTGGCACCTCTCCCGGGGCATCTGTGGTCTGGATGGTGGGGGGACATGGAGGGACAGAGTGACCTGCAGCCTCTCTGGTCCAGGGGTGACCTACGTGGACGGCCGTGGGGGCCCTTCAGCGTGTGCCGCAGAGGTGGACGGCCCCAGTTCCGTGGCCCAGCACGTGGGGTCACCTGAGGCCAGCGCTGTCCCCATCCTAGCTGCCAGGAAGGTGCTGTTGGCCGGGGCTGTCCCTTCCGCCCTGGCCTTCTGCTGGGATGGCCGAGGTGCTGGGGGTGCACGGAGCCGGTTTCTGCCTTTGTCCCCCGGTTCCCTAAATCATGAGCGTTTTAGAAACTCGCTCAACCATAAACCAGAACCGCTGGGCTCTCTGGGCCACGGGGCCTGGGGTTCACGTCAGGTGCCTCCCCCAGCGGGAGGGTGCTGTGGGGTTCGCCGGCTGCTACTTCGAGGGACTCACGGGGCCGGGTCCCTGGGCTTGGCCAGGAGGCCCTTCCGGCCTCTCTCTGAGTCATGCCCGGGGGTCCTGGGGGTGGGGGTCTAACAGCCAGGTCTTCTAGAGAAGGGGCCCTGGAGGGCTTCTCGGAGGAGAGGGCCTCCATCAGCTTCTCTGTGACTCAGCCCCACCCTCATTGCTCCCAGACCCCAGATCCTCTCCTCTTAGGGCCTCGGTTTCTACCCTGGGAAAGGGGCTGATGAGAGCACTTCCACTTGGGGGGGCGCGGGCTGTCACGTAGGAAGCTTCCGGTAGTGCCAGAAAGGTCCTTGGCCAGGCCTGGAGAGACAGGGCCGCAGGGAGGGCGCTTGCCTCGCGTGTACCCAGCCTGGGTTCGATCCCCAGCATCCTACGTGGTGCCAGGAGTGGGTCCTAAGCAGAGATCGAGGAAGAGCCCTGAGCACCTCTGGGTGTGACCCTCCCCCCCATACTTGGCCAGCCATAAAAGGGCTGGTCCTGCTTTTTCTGGTTTTGGTTTTGGGGGACACCCGTGGGTGCTCAGGGCCTATTTCTTGCTCTGTGTTCAGATGGCACATCCAACAGTGCTCCGGGGCTACTCCTTATCCCGTGCTCAGGAGCGACCCTGGGCAGACCTCAGGGGACCCTATGGGGTGCTGGGCCCAAAGGCCAAACCGTGTCTCCAGCTGGGACGGGGTCAGTGCTTCCTGGGAGCATCCTGGGAACGCAGCCAGGATGCCTGATGGAGCTCCCTGTGCCTCCTCCTGCGGCTGTCAAGAGGCCTGGGGTTCGAGGGATGCGGAGGGAGGGGTGGGGGGTGCGGGTGTAAAGCCTGAGTGTGCCTGGGGCTGGAGTGATAGCACAGCGGGGCGGGCGTTTGCCTTGCACGTTCCCAGCATCCCGAGCACTGCCAGGAGTGATTCCTGAGTGCAGAGCCAGGAGGAACCCCTGACCATCGCTGGGTGTGGCCCAAAAAGCCAAAAAAACCCAAAAAAGCCTGAGTGTGAGCCAACGGGCTCCTTTGAACGGGGAGGGGCTCAGACGGGGGGCAGGAAGTCCTCCTTTGCTGGAATACTTTTGGTGATGGGCGGTGCTTGGCGAGTGTCCCCCTTCTCTGCTCAGGGGTCGCTCCTGACGGTCGCTCCAGCAGACCCACGCGGTGCCCAGGACCCAACCTGGGCCTCCCACATGCAAAGCCTGCATGGGGCCCTGTGAGCTCTCCGGAATATTCTCTTGAGGACGCGGCACGCACCCTGCCCCTCCTCGCCAGCCCCCGGGGCCCCCTCTGACCTCTCCGGCTCGGTTTCCCTGCAGGTTCCAGGTGCGATGGTGGTCTCGGGCCTCCTCCTGACTCTGCTGCTGCTGCGGGCCCTGGCCGGCGCTGCCTACTCCCTGCCCTTCATGGAGGACCTAGGGGGCAGCGGGGAAGCCGAGGGCTCGTCGGCCTCCTCCCCGAGCCTGCCGCTGGCCCGGACCCCGGCCCTGAGCCCCACGCCCCTGGGGCCCCAGCCCACGGTCCTGGCGGGCCCCCGGCCCCCCACCAACCTGCTGGACGGCATCAAGGATTTCTTCCGCCAGTACGTGATGCTCATCGCCGTGGTGGGCTCGCTCGTCTTCCTGATGATGTTCATCGTCTGTGCTGCCCTCGTCACCCGCCAGAAGCACAAGGCGTCCGCCTACTACCCCTCGTCCTTCCCCAAGAGGAAGTACGTGGACCAGAGTGACCGGGCCGGGGGCCCCCAGGCCTTCTGCGAGGTCCCCGACAAGGCCCCCGCCAGCCGGCCCGAGGAGGCCCTGGACTCCTCCCAGCAGTTGCAGGCTGACATCCTGGCCGCCACCCAGAACCTCAAGTCCCCGGCCAGGGCGGGCGCGGGCAGTGGGGACGCGGCCCGGGGGGAGGCCAGGGCCCAGGAGGGGGCCTCCGCGGAGCCGGGCTCAGCAGGGCCCGAGGCCGGAGAGGGCCCAGGGGAGCCAGAGGCCGTCCCCTTGCTAGCCCAGGAGGCCGGGGGCGTGGCGGGGCCCCCCGAAGGCCCCTGTGTGTCCAGCACCGTCCCCCCCAGTGCCTAAGCAGCCCCCCGGGGCGGTGGCCCTGACTGTCGGGCCAGAAGGCACCTCTGTGGGCCAGGCTGGAGCTCGTCCTCGGATCCCAACCCCCTGATGCCTGCCCCAGCCCCCCACAAACCTCCAGCCCAGCCCCAACACCCAGGGGTCCCCGGGGTCCCCAGGCAGCACCTCTGTTTGGGGCAGGTGGGGGAGGGATGCGTCCCCGTGACCAAGGGACCCAGGAAATCAGCCGCGCTGGGTGGGTGGGTGGGTGGGTGGAGGACAAGAGGAGGGGGTGGCCCTGCTGTCGCTGTCCCCAGCCCTGATGACACGGAGGTTCCTGGGCAGAACTCACCCAGAAGCTTCTACGAGCAGCACCCGTGGGGCAGTGCCTGGAACGAGCCTTTTCCCCAGTGGTACTCCGTGGGAGAAAGTTTGGGGGTGCTGCCTCTGCCTTGCTGCCCGCGAGCCCCCCACAGCAGGGCTCCCCACCCGGACCCTGGCTTTGCCTCCTCTGCCTTTGACCCAAGAGTCCTTCATGCATGGCCTTCATGCTGGCCACAGACTCAGGGCAGCTGCAGCCCCCTCCCTTCTGATTGGCCCAGACCGAGTCCTGAGGGGCTTGGGGGCTCCCTCCCTCCCCAGGTGAAGTCCCCCCCGGATGAGTTCCTCCTCTAGAATGTCTGGGAGACTGTGATGAGGGGTCCCCCCTGGGGGAGCGCCTCGGGGCCAGGGGAGGACCGTGAAGACCTGAAGACCTGAAGGGGGGGGGGAGGGTTGGTCCCCACCGGCTGCTCCCTGACCCCTTCAACCTGCGCTCAGATTCCTTCTCCATAGGCGCTCAGCCCCATCCTGACATTTGGGGGTGGGGTTTCCTTCCCGTCCCTGGGTCAGACACCCCCACCTCCACCCCCGCCCCCTCTGTGGTCTAGGCAGGGGCTGAGACTGACTGCTGGCACAATAAACCTTTCTAGCGGGCCTGAGTCTCACTGCTTTGCTGGGTGGGCAGACTTGCTGAGAGATGGGGGTGGATGGGTGGGTGGGTGGGGGATGGGGACTGCAGGGGGCGGGCAGAGCCTGTATGTCCCCCCTCTCTTCCCCAGCCTAGAGGAGCCGGGTCCCGGGACCCTTGTCCCGACTGTTCCTCAGGGTGCTCCGAGGCTCCCAGGCCCTGCAGAGTGTGTGTGTGGGGCGATGGGTGTCCGGTCAGGCCCCAGCGAGGCCTTTGCCCCCACCCCGCCCCCTGCGCCCCCAGGCTCCTCCTCCTCTTTGATGATCAGATCTGTGGCTGCGGCCCATCCGCCAGCTGCCGTCCAGATGTGGACGTGGCCAGTGGAGGGGGCGACCCCGGCCATGGAGGGGGCCGGGTCGGGCTTCCTTAACAAAGGCCTGGTTCCCGAGGGGGTGGGGTAGGGCCAGCCTTGGCTGCCTGGAACAGCCCGGCTGTTGATCTGAGTCCCCCAGAGAGTGGCGGGGGCGGCGGGGGAAGGGGTGCGGGGGGGCAGCCCCCCCACAGGCCCTCTGAGGGCCAGTGCTCCCGTCCTTAGAGCTTGGGGGGGGTGGGTCCTTGGAGCTGAGGTGAGCCTGAATGGTGCCCCTGACAGGCCCGGGTCAAAGGGAAGCGAACTTGGATCCTGGGGAAATTGGTCTACTATGAGGGTCCCAGCACCCGACTCGGTGCCCCCCTCCCACCCATCACGTTCAGCAGAGTCTCCCGCCCCCCCCCCCCGAGTGCGGGTGATGGGCAACTGATGTGGCTCGTGGCCATCGCCCCCCTCACCTTGCCTGCTGCCCCCACCCCGTGGCTCCTGGCACAGACCCCTGGGCCCCAGGACCCCCTGACACTGGCAGTGAATGAGGCGCTGCTCTCTGCTCTCTGGCCTGGGCGCTAACGTCCTCCCCACACTCCCAGCCCTGCAGGCCACAACGGGGCCTCCCAGGTCCTGGATGGGAAAACGGGGGCCCAGAGAGGCGAAGCCAGTGGCCCGATGGTCCCAGAGCTCTCTGCTGGGTTCTGCCTTGGTGCTCCCTGGGTGCATGTGAGAGTGTGTTTGTGAGGGACGCTATGTGTGAGCCTAAGAGCGAGTGAGTGTGTGAGTGTGTGTGTGTGTGAGTCAGTGTGTGAGTGCGTGAATGGGTGAGTGCGTGCAGGGTCCCATGGCAGCTTAGCACCCCTGGGAAACGTCCTCAGGTCTGTGAGGGAGTTGAGGGGGGAGGTTTAAGGGTGGGTGTGAGGGTCCCAGGGACGGGGGAGCCTGCCAGGACCTGAACAGACCTCCACTGTCCAGGGCTTGTAAACGTGAACAGCTGCTCTGCCTGGGGAGGGGAGAGGAACACACACACATGCACACGCACACGCACGCACACACACATGCACACACGCTCAGGGTGGGAATGGAGGGTTCCTGCCTGGGCGCCCCTTCTGCTGGGCACTCGGGTTAGAATGGGTGGCGAGGACTGGAGTCTCCGGGCTGCTCGGAGCTGGGCCCTTGGCCCGAACCCCTGGCTTGGCCGAGGTGGTGCCAGCCCCTCCGGCACACCCTGGCCCAGGCCGCCTGTCCCTGCAGGCAGTTCCTGCCTCTCAGGCCCATTTCTCCTCAGTCCCATGCAGACTCCTTACTTGAGTCTCCGAGGGACCCTGCCTCTGGGGTGCTAGGAACGAGGGGCAACGGAGGCTAAGTCGAGGATGCCCAGGAGTAAATAGTATTCGGAGTCAGTTAATTCCCAAGTTACAAAAGCACAGCGCTAACTGCCTTCCTGCAAGGGCCATAAAGGAAATAGAGAAGCAGTATTTCGCTTACAAATACAGAACCAGAGATCTCTGAAGCATTTGACTTTACAAGTCACAGGTAGGGCTTGGGGGAAATGAGTGATTCACAGAGAGGGGAAGGGAGCACCCAGGAGAAGTTAAAGACAAGCCCAGAGGAATGGGAGGGCCAATGGGAGTGCCTGGGGGCACTGTGATGGGTGTTACTAAGCTCCTCGCTCTGGAGGAGAAACGGCAAACCCATGTTAAACCTGAAATGTTTAGGACTTCCTTAGTAACATAAGCGATTGGGCATCTTTTTTGTTGTGGCTGGGACACACCTGGTGGTGACTGCAGGGAACCAGATACGGTGTCAGGTACTGAACTGAGGTTGGCCACAGTGCTCCAGCCGCTGTACTCTCTTTCTGGTTCCTCCTGGGCATCTTTTCATGTGTTTGCTAACAATCTACATATCTTGTTTGGAGAAATGCCGTTTAATGCCTTTGCCTTGATTTAAATTGGTAATGTTGTTCTTTTTTTTATCAACATTGGTAATAGTTGGTATTACAAATTTTATCAAAACTGGTAGTAGTTTTATTAACTATTTACTAATAATTCGTCCCTTATCAGATAGAACATTTAAACATACTTTCTCCCATCGGGTGGATTGCTTTTTATCCTCGTGATACTGTACCGGACATGCACACATTTTTAATTTGATGCACTGTTAGCACTGTCCTCCCGTTGTTCATCGATTTGTTCGAGAGGGCCCAGTAACGTCTTCATTGTGAGACTTGTTGTTACTGTGTCTGGCATATCGAATACGTCACGGGGAGCTTGCCAGGCTCTGCCGTGCGGGCGAGATACTCTCAGTAGCTTGCTGGGCTCTCCGAGAGGGGCGGAGGAATCGAACCAGCTTGGCCAGGCCAGCTGCGCGCAAGGCAGACGCCCTACTGCTGTGCTATCACTCCAGCCCAATTTGATAAAATAAAATTTATTTTTTCTTTCTTTTACCTGTAAAAAAAAAAAAAGAAATAAAATGTTTAGAATTATAATCCAACAATCTGGGTTGAGGGGGCTCGAACCCGGGTCAGCTGACAAGTCATGCCAGACAAGTGCATTTCCTGCGGTTCTCTCAGACGATTGAACTTTAAACAGTGGAACCTCTGTGGTCCAGAGGATCTCGAAACCCTGGTTGTGACCAACTACTCCATTCATCCTGGGGCATCTGGGAGCCAGCCAGGGCTGGGACCCGCTCGGGGGTCTCTGGCGGGTGGCGGATTGGTGGCTCTGCCCATTTCCGCTCTTCCTCGGCTGTGCGGTGGGGGAGAGTTTTGTCTGGGAAGTTTTGTCTGGAGTGGGGCTGCGATTTTTTTTTAATTAGGTTTTTTTTTTTCAAGGTTTTCATTTCAAGATTCCGTGGCCACTCAGAAATAACAGGACGGATTTGGGGCTGGCCCCAGGGCCGGGCGGGGGGTGCCCGCAGCTGCCGTCCCCACCTCCAGGCGGATCCTGTGTTTATGGCAGCAGCTGCAAAGTATAAAATATTTGTTCCTGTGCATCTGCTCTGGCTGGGGCCCTGGTGCCAGGGGCCTCTCAGCTGCCCAGAGTGAGGCCCACTGAGGTTGGGGGGGAGGCTGGGGGCCTGGCACTGGGCGGGGGGCATCTGTGCTCTTTCCCTTAGAGTTCGGGGAGGGTCTGGAGAGGTGAAAGAGGGGCCTAGATGCTGAGGTTTGAACATGCCAGGGTAGAAATAAGGAATCAAAACCCTCCCGGGACTTGAGGGGAAGCGGCTTGGCCCTCTACGGCTTTTGTCTAAGACCCGGATCTCAGTCCTGACGCTGTTGTCCCCTCACCCCTGAAGATGCGTCGAGGTTCCTACATGCATCCGTGCATTACCACAGGCAGGGCGGTGTGGCCTGGTGGTTAGGGCAGCCCTGGGTGGTTTCCCGCTCTGTCCCCTCCCAGCCGTGTGACCTTGGGGCCGTCGTTTAACTTCTCTGGGCTGGACTTTCCTCAGGGGTGAACTAGGAGTCAGGGCTGGTGGCGGTGGGCCGTTGGGCTCATTTGTTTCGAGTCAGAAACAGCCGCCCTTCACCTGGGTGAAGGCAGTCTCCGAGCCGTCAGTAGTGCAGTGCGCCAGGAAGGGAAGAGACAGAAACTTCTGGTCGGTCCTTCCTGTCTGTGTCTTCCACGAGCTGCTTCTTTCCTCGACTAGTTCCAGAAACGTCAGAGTCGAGGTTGGGGATTCCCTTTCGGTTCGTACTTGTTTGGGGCC